CTGCGCCTTAATGAAGCATAGTAAAGTAATACCTTTATTTAAATCTGGTAGTACATTAGACCCCGCCAATTTTAGACCTATTTCTGTTCTACCACTTATTAAGATTTTTGAAAAAAAAATATTCTTGATCAAATGTTAAATTTCTTTAATATAAATCATTTACTTCTTAAAATCAATTTGGTTTTACAAGGGGTCGCTCGACAACTGATGCCGGTGTTGAGCTGATTAAATATATATTTAATGCATGGGAGAATTCACAGGATGCTTTGGGTATATTTTGTGACCTATCCAAGGCCTTCGATTCTGTTCACCATGAAACATTAATCAGGAAACTTCAACACTACGGTGTAAGAAGTGATGCTCTTAAATTAATTATTTCATATTTAAGTAAGAGAACGCAAAAAGTTGTCATTAACAGTATGAGCTCTTCCGGGTCGATGGTACGAATGGGCGTGCCTCAAGGCTCAATTCTCGGCCCATTTCTGTTTCTTGTGTACATTAATGACTTACCTTACATAGTAGGGGATAACCATGATATAGTATTATTTGCAGATGACACTTCTTTAATTTTCAATGTAAGTCGACAATTACTAAAATATGACGAAGTAAATAATGCTATATCTAAATTAGTAAATTGGTTCGATGTTAATAATTTGCATTTAAATGGCACTAAAACGAAATGTATTAAATTCATGACTCCAAATGTCAAACAATTAAATACTAATGTAATTTTAAATGGGGAGAAACTGAGTCTTGTAGACACCACCATTTTTCTTGGGATCACAATAGACGCGAAGCTTCAATGTAGCCCTCATATATCAAAACTAGCAAGCAGATTTAGTTCTACAGCATATGCTATAAAAAAGATTAGAAGTCTAACCAGTGTTGAAACAGCTAGACTAGTTTACTTTAGCTATTTCCATAGCATAATCTCGTATGGTATTTTGCTATGGGGACACGCAGCTGACACTGAAATTATATTTGTTTTACAGAAGAGGGCTTTAAGATTTAAGAGATAAGAGCAATTTATGATTTAAAGCCTAAAGAGTCGCTGCGACAAAAATTTAAGGAAATTAATATATTAACTTTGGCCTCTCAATACATTTATGAAAATGTAATGTACGTACACAAAAATAAAAGTAGTTTTACAAAAATAAGTGATATTCATTCTGTAAATACTAGAAACAGACACAAGCTAGTAATACCAGTTACTCAACTCCATCGATTCAGTAATTCATTCTTGGGGCGATGTATACGCTTTTACAACAAAATTCCAGAAAATATACAAAATTTGACCTGCTCAAAGTTCAAAAACTTTATTAAACTAAGTTTGTATAAAAAGGGTTATTATAATATTAAAAAATTTATGGATGATAATAACCCCTGGAAATGAGGTGATCACTACCAAGCTATTTCTAATTTGTTGTGTTGTTAATTTGTGTAACATACATGATTGTAAGCTGTTATTTAAAAAAAAAAGTCCCGCTGGGTTTTTGCTGGCTCTTCCCAGGACAGAGGTTTTTTTTCGAACCAGTGGTAATTAAACAAAGAGTGACTTTCAATAAGTATTATTTATAATCTATATTGAATAAAAAAGTTTCTGTTTCATTGTCTAGTCCGGAGTGTGGTGCCACTCACGCTAAAATCACGGTTATATTCTGCAGGCTGCTGCCGTGTTTAGCACTATAGGTCGACCGATTGGGATAGAATTTTTTTTATAGGAGAGGGGGCAAACGAGCATGCGGCTCACCTGATGGTAAGTGACTACAGCCGCCCATGAACAACCGCAACACCAGGGGTACCCATGAAAATTGCAGATGCGTTGACGGCCTTTTAAAAAGGAATAGGCTCTTTTCTTGAAGGTCCCTAAGTCGTATCGGTCCGGAAAAATCGCTGGTGGTAAACTATTCCACAAGGAAGTTGTGCGAGGAAGAAAACATCTTCTAAATCGCACAGTGGTGGACCGCCAATCATCCAGATGGTGTGGATGGTATCGGGAGTTCTGCCGCGATGTACGTTCGTGAAATTTGGCGGCTGGGATTAATCCGAACAATTCCTCAGAGCACTCCCCGTGGTAAATGCGAAAGAAAATGCAAAGTGATGCAACATCTCTTCGCAGCGCCAATGAATCGAGCCGATTGAAAAGGACTCGGTCGTCGACGATTCGAGCCGCTCTGCGCTAGATGCGGTTAAGTGGAAGGAGTTGGCACTGGGGAGCTCCTGCCCAGAGATGGGAACAGTATTCTATGTGAGGCCGAACCTGCGCCATGTAAAGTTGCAGGCGTTGTGCCGGCATGAAATACTGTCCCGTTCTGCTGAGCACGCCAAGCTTTTTAGAGGCCAATTTGGCCTTCTCTTCTAAGTGACCACGAAACTGCACGTCATTCGATGTCGACGCCGAGGATTCCGATACTGGCTGAGGCAACAAGGCAAGTACCTTGAAACTGAGGAGATACGACAAAGGGGTTCTTTTTAGCGGTAAACGCGCAAACTTGTGTCTTCTGAGGGTTAGACTGGACTAGATTTAGTCGCCCCCAATTCTCGACTTCAGACACAAGTTTGTTCCGGTACTCGGCGACGTTTTGCCGAGAAATAATGGCACGGCCGGTGTATAGAGCATCACCAGTGCTGTCATCTGCATAGCAATGAATGCTACCGGTTTGCAACATATCATTGATATGCAGAATAAACAGCGTTGGTGATAGCACGCAGCCTTGTGGAACACCAGCGTTAATAGGCTTGTAGTCGGAGCATGAACCGTCTACAACGACCTTGATGCTCCGATCTGCAAGAAAGCTGGAGATCCAATTGCACAATTTCTCGGGAAGACGATAGGAAGGGAGCTTCGAAAGTAGCGCTTTGTGCCAGACCCGATCTAAGGCCTTCGCAATGTCCAAACTAATGGCCAATGCCTCCCCCTTGGACTCGATCGCCTGCGCCCATCTATGTGTTAGGTAAACAATAAGATCACCAGCTGAGCGACCCCGACGCAAACCGTACTGGCAGTCACTACTCAGCTGGTGCTCCTCAAGGTACCGCATGAGCTAGCAGTTAATAATGGACTCTATTATTTTCGAGAACAAGAAGGTGATGGCGATAGGCCTGTAGTTAGACGGATCTGAGCGGTTGCCTTTTTTAGGGATCGGGTGGACAAAGCTGTCTTCCATGATTTCGGGACTACGCCTAGGGAGTAGGAGTACCGGAAAAGACGCATTAGAATCGGTGCCAACTCCGCACACGTTGGGGGGATTCCGTCAGGCCCACTCGACTTGTGTCCAGGTAGAGGAGTGCTTTGCGGACCGATCGCTGCGAGAACCGTACATCCGGCATGGAGCACTCACACCGCGGGATGGTCGGCGATGTGTTCTCCCCGTCATCAAGAGTCGAGTTGGACGCAAAGACGGAGCCTAAAAGGTCGGCTTTCTCTTTTGCGGCGTGGGCTAGTGAGTCGTCCTCCCTGTGCAGAGATGGTAGATCTCCCCGCATGATCGGTTAAACGTGAACCGAGCCATTTGGCGTGGTGGGCGTTAAAATCGCCAAGGATCACCATCTCTGCGGATGGGACCTGTTGTAGCAAGGAATCTGTAGCCATTTGGACGTGGTCGATGAGTCGGTCTGTTTCGGCATTACCGCTATGGGACCTATAGAGGCACACGTAGACGCGCGGATGGTCGTCGCTGTCTACGCGTAGCCAAAGGATGGACAGGTCCAAGCCGTCTCGAGATGGTAGTGAATAGCGTTTAGGTTCGAGTGAAGTCCCCTGATGTTGCAGAAATTCACGGATACTGCTACGCTATCCGTGAATTTCTGCAACATCAGGGGTCGCCTTGGTCTTGTTGCTCAGTTTGCCCCGAGCAGTTATTGTGTCGAGCGGGATCCCCCCCCCCCACCCCCAGAATACGCGGGTTAGCCTGAGCACCCTCGCTCAGGAGTGGAATAGCATGGTCGTGGATGCTCAGCGAGGGATTCTCCGGTACCCTCCTGGGGTAGTTTATGATGTAATTCCGCTACCATGTTGATGGGCGGGGGAGGATTGGGCCTCCGGTCTCCTGCACTCACCATATTCTGTGAGGTCGTGGTACAAACCCGGCTCGAGCCGGCCCCTACGTGCAACAGCAAAAGCTGCTGCGTGGCTCTACCACCGTTAAAATGTGTTTATCATGATGTGTTTATCAAACAAAAGCTTAGAATCTTGGATTACTCTTAAATGTCTACCCGGGTAAAAGTCATTGCGGAACGTTTGGATACATTTAAATTAAGCTTGTTTGGAATGCAATATTGTACAAAATATCGCGTTGCAAACGTTTATAATCACCAAAGCTATTGATGCCCATAAAAATTTTAGTATCACTTGCATATAATATGAATCTGGCATGTTCAAAACACAACTATATATTATATTAATAAAAATGACAAATAGTAAAGGCCCTAAGAAACAGCCTTGAGACAAGCCAGAAGGAATTGACAAATACGCGGGACACAAACCCATTTATTGTAACGGCCTGGGATTTATTACTAATATACGACGAAAACCACCTGCATAAGCCACCGTCTATACTAGCTTTGTAAAGCTTCTCGATGTGCAGCAGGTGGTCTACACTATCAAAAGCTTTACTGAAATCAGTAAATATGGTCAGATATTGTACAGAACTAACTTATTTCTAAAAGTAGCCGGCGATACAAATACTAATTTTAGTTATGTAATCTTTTTGAACATTTGCATGCGGATTGAGACGTTTCTAACGTTTACAGTTATTACTGCAAGTGTTTATCATTCACTTTATACCGTTACTGCACCTATCAAAAGCCCACCGTTGATCATAGGTTGGCAACCACAGTTTTTTTTCAGCCCAATCAAAGGTTTGTTTCCCTATGTCGCCTCTTACTACTCCCACGGGACGATGTGGGGTAGTGGATATTTATACATTGTTAGAACAGGGTATTGAAAGACATTTTTAGTATATGTTAGTTGAATGGTCGTGGGTGGGTTGTTGTGTCAGGTTGAAGAAGTGCCTGTCGAAGTACGCGTGCCTGCGCGAGGAGATGGTGGAGCAGCGCGAGGCGCACGACGCGGAGCGGCGCGAGCACGAGGCGCTGCAGGCGGCGCTGCTGGCCGCGCTGCGCCGCCGCCTGCTGGTGGCCGACGGCTTCGTGCCCGAGGCGGGCCGCGCGCACGTGCTGCGCCTGCGCTACAACGACGACGCGGACGCCTGGCAGCTGCCGCCGGCGCGACACAGGTGAGTGCTGCGCGCAGGTGAGTGCTGCGCACAGGTGAGTGCTGCGCCGTGTGCCGTGTGCCGTGTGCCGCCTGCTGGTGACCGACGGACGAGTGCCTGAGGCGGGCCGTTCGCACGTGATGTGTGTATATTGGTTGGGTTGTTAGACGCGCCATTCCCTTTTGCCTGTATTTTTTCTGAACCTTCTCTACAAATTTTTCCGTACATTGCAAAATAACCCAATATATTCGTGTAGAAATTTGCCATTACAAAGTTTTTACATGAATTAGATTTGAAAACAAAGGGGTAGAGTCGTATGCTAAGAAAGTTGCGATAAAACCGTGATGTCGAAACGACACTTTGGTTTAACAGTGGCGTGGAACCCTTGACGGAACGACCGCTGGCGAGCGGTGCGCGGCGACCCATGTGCACGCTGGCGCTGGGCCCAGCGCCGGCGCGGCGCCGCGCGGAGAACCTGCTGGACCTGCAGCCGCTGCCGCTGCCCGCCACCGCGCGCCGCTACACGCCGCCACCGCCGCGCGCGCCGCGCCCTCAGGTGCACACACCTGCTGCACTTGTACCTGTCACACTTCTGGCAACACTGTCACCGGCAACACTCCCACTGGCAGCACTTCCACCAACAATACTCCCACCAGCAACACTAACCGTCTACACTCCAACCGTCAACACTTACACCGGCAACACTCCCACCGGCAACACTCCCACCGGCAATACTCACACCGGCAACACTCCCACCTTCAACACTCCCACCGGCAACACTCTAACCGTCTACACTCCAACCGTCAACACTCCCACCGGCATCACTCCCACCGGCAACACTTTCAACGTCAACACTGGCACCGGCAACACTCCCACCGACAATACTTTCAACGTCAACACTGGCACCGGCAACACTCCCACCGACAATACTCCCACCGGCAACACTCCCACCTTCAACACTCACACCGGCAACACTCCCACCGGCAATACTCCCACCGGCAACACTTTAACCGTCTACACTCCAACTGTCAACACTCCCACCGGCAACACTCCCACCGTCAACACTCCCACCGGCAACACTGGCACCGGCAACACTCCCACCGGCAATACTCACACCGGCAACACTCCCATCTTCTATACTCCCACTGACAATACTCTCACCGGCAATACTCCCACCGGTAATACTCCCACCGGCAACGCTCTCACTGACAACACTACCACCGGCTACATTCCCACCGGCAACACCCACTGGTAACACTCCCACTAGCAATACTCCCACTGACAATATTCTCACCGGCATCACTCCCACCGGCAACACTCCCACCGACAATACTCCCACCGGCAATACTCCCACCGGCAACACTTTAACCGTCTACACTCCAACCGTCAACACTCCCACCGGCAACACTCCCACCGGCAACACTCCCACCGGCAACACTTTCAACGTCAACACTGGCACCGGCAACACTCCCACCGGCAATACTCACACCGGCAACACTCCCATCTTCTATACTCCCACTGACAATACTCTCACCGGCAATACTCCCACCGGTAATACTCCCACCGGCAACGCTCTCACTGACAACACTACCACCGGCTACATTCCCACCGACAACACTCCCACTGGTAACACTCCCACTAGCAATACTCCCACTGACAATATTCTCACCGGCAACACTCCCACCGGCAACACTCCCACCGACAATACTCCCACCGGCAATACTCCCACCGGCAACACTTTAACCGTCTACACTCCAACCGTCAACACTCCCACCGGCATCACTCCCACCGGCAACACTTTCAACGTCAACACTGGCACCGGCAACACTCCCACCGACAATACTCACACCGGCAACACTCCCATCTTCTATACTCCCACTGACAATACTCTCACCGGCAATACTCCCACCGGTAATACTCCCACCGGCAACGCTCTCACTGACAACACTACCACCGGCAACTTTCCCACCGACAACACTCCCACTGGTAACACTCCCACTACCAATACTCCCACTGACAATATTCTCACCGGCAACACTCCCACCGGCAATACTCCCACCGGCAACACTTCAACCGTCTACACTCCAACCGTCAACACTCCCACCGGCAATACTCCCACCGGCAACACTTTCAACGTCAACACTGGCACCGGCAACACTCCCACCGGCAATACTCACACCGGCAACACTCCCATCTTCTATACTCCCACTGACAACACTCCCACCGGCAACACTCCCACCGACAATACTCCCACCGGCAACACTCCCACCAACAATACTCCCACCGGCAATACTCCCACCTTCAACACTCCCACCGACAACACTCCCACCGGCAATACTCCCACCGGCAACACTCCCACCGGCAAAACTCCCACCGGCAACACTTTCAACGTCAACACTGGCACTGGCAACACTCCCACCGGCAATACTCACACCGGCAACACTCCCATCTTCTATACTCCCACTGACAATACTCTCACCGGCAATACTCCCACCGGTAATACTCCCACCGGCGACACTCCCACCGACAACACTCCCACCGGCAATACTCCCACCGGCAACACTCCCACCGGCAAAACTCCCACCGGCAACACTCCCACCGACAATACTCCCACCGGCAATACTCCCACCGGCAACACTTTAACCGTCTACACTCCAACCGTCAACACTCCCATCTTCTATACTCCCACTGACAATACTCTCACCGGCAAGACTCCCACCGGTAATACTCCCACCGGCAACGCTCTCACTGACAACACTACCACCGGCAACATTCCCACCGGCAACACTCCCACTGGTAACACTCCCACTAGCAATACTCCCACTGACAATATTCTCACCGGCAATACTCCCACCGGTAACACTCCCACCGACAATACTCAAACCGGCAATACTCCCACCGGCAACACTTTAACCGTCTACACTCCAACCGTCAACACTCCCACCGGCAACACTCCCACCGGCAACACTCCCACCGGCAACACTTTCAACGTCAACACTTTCAACGTCAACACTGGCACCGGCAACACTCCCACCGACAATACTCACACCGGCAACACTCCCATCTTCTGTACTCCCACTGACAATACTCTCACCGGCAATACTCCCACCGGCAACGCTCTCACTGACAACATTACCACCGGCAACATTGCCACCGGCACCACTCCCACTGGTAACACTCCCACTACCAATACTCCCACTGACAATATTCTCACCGGCAACACTCCCACCGGCAATACTCCCACCGGCAACACTTCAACCGTCTACACTCCAACCGTCAACACTCCCACCGGCAACACTCCCACCGGCAACACTTTCATCGTCAAAACTGGCTCCGGCAACACTCCCACCGGCAATACTCACACCGGCAACACTCCCATCTTCTATACTCCCACTGACAATACTCTCACCGGCAATACTCCCACCGGCAACGCTCTCACTGACAACACTACCACCGGCAACATTCCCACCGGCAACACTCCCACTGGTAACACTCCCACTAGCAATACTCCCACTGACAATACTCTCACCGGCAATACTCCCACCGGCAACACTTCAACCGTCTACACTCCAACCGTCAACACTCCCACCGGCAACACTCCCACCAGCAACACTTTCAACGGCAACACTCCCACCGGCAATACTCACACCGGCAACACTCCCATCTTCTATACTCCCACTGACAATACTCTCACCGGCAATACTCCCACCGGCAACGCTCTCACTGACAACACTACCACCGGCAACATTGCCACCGGCACCACTCCCACTGGTAACACTCCCACTAGCAATACTCCCACTGACAATATTCTCACCGGCAACACTCCCACCGGCAACACTCCCACCGGCAACACTCCCACCGGCAACACTTTCAACGTCAACACTGGCTCCGGCAACACTCCCACCGGCAATACTCACACCGGCAACACTCCCATCTTCTATACTCCCACTGACAATACTCTCAACGGCAATACTCCCACCGGTAATACTCCCACCGGCAACACTCCCACCTTCAACACTCCCACCGACAACACTCCCACCGGCAATACTCCCACCGGCAACACTCTATTCGTCTACACTCCAACCGTCAATACTCCCACCGGCAACACTCCCACCGGCAACACTTTCAACGTCAACACTGGCACCGGCAACACTCCCACCGGCAACACTCCCATCTTCTATACTCCCACTGACAATACTCTCACCGGCAATACTCCCACCGGTAATACTCCCACCGGCAACACTCCCACTGGTAACACTCCCACTAGCAATACTCCCACTGACAATATTCTCACCGGCAACACTCACTGGCAACACTGCCACCGGCAACACTGCCACCGGTAACACTCCTACCTGCAATACTCCCACTGACAATACTCTCACCGGCAACACTCCCATCGGTAACACTTCCACCGGCAATACTCGCACAGGCAACACTCTCATCGGTAATACTCCCACCGGCAACACTCTTACTGGCAACACTACTATCGGTAACATTTTCACTGGCAACACTCCTACTGGCAATATTTTTACTGACAATACTCCCACCTACAATACTCTCATTGGTAAGACTCCCATCGGCACACTTTCACCGGCAACACTTCCACTGGCGACACTCCCACCAGCAATATTACTACCGGTAACACTTTCACCAGAATACTTTCATCGGCAACATTCCAACATTCGAAACCGCGACATTCCCGCTCTTAACGCTCGCAACTACGTCATAACCTCCGGCAACGCTCGACACTCCCGCAAACAAACATTCGCTCTCAATACTGAAATTTGCAACTTTCACACTATATTCCCGTGTAAAATGCTTTTCCCAGTTTTTGCAATATATTTCGGCCTTAACTCTTGTATACTTCCACTTATAATTATTATAAACACGATACCCCTGTTCATCCTTTTAAGACTCGCTACGTCTATGTTTGCAACGCAATTATACTTCGACACTAAGCTTAATTTTTTATTTTATATAAATGTACAGAAATGTTTAAAGCGTAACAAAACGGTTCCTGTAAATGGTGCTAGTATGGTGATATCTTGAAACATTCTGTGTCTGCTGTAATGAATTCGAAACTTGGAGAATAAAATGAAGTTTTAATAAAAAGTGTGGTTGTTGCAGGTGGCAGTGGCAGTGGCAGATACGGTCAAGAAGGAGGAGGTGCGGCGCGGCGGCGGCGCGCGCGCGCGGCCTGCCACCGCTGCCACCGCGCACACGCGCCTCGGCACCGCCGCCACCGCCGGCGTGCGCTAGCCCAGGTACGTGCACACCGCCTCACTACCTGGCCCACGCCTGGGGAACTACCCAAACTGCAGGGAACCTCATCTTACTTGGGGATTTGTTGGGGATTGGCATATGTGGGGGACATACTTCTTCGAGAATCCCAAATGTTTTAATATGTTTGAAATTAATACTTCTTTAGCATCGCTGTCATTTGGATCAAACGAAAAAGCGACACTGAAAAAAAAACAAACGTATACGTCTATAGAATTTAGCCTGCGTGAGAATGAGATAAAATACAGTGTATTCTTTTCTTAAATTTTGTACATCACAGGCTTAAAACTCATGCAGATAACATGGATGTTGAACGTTACTGTGGTAAAAGCCTTAAAAATGCTACGGGAGAATACATGTTCCCAAACATAAAAATTGTGATGTCCTTGTTGCTCAAACAGCAGTTTTCAAACACCTGATGAGTCGATCGCTAATTTAATGTGCTTCAAAATTTAAAAACAAAAAACCGAAATCAACTAAATACTCATACTGTAATGTCTTTAATAACAACAAGAGAGGCAATTAAAATATTGGGCGGAAGCGTCTAGTTTAACCCTTCGAACAAAATGCTTGCATCAAATTAATGGAAAAGTGTAACAGTACAAAACTTGTTTCATTATTTAAAATAATATATTAGGGAATTTGTGAGAAATCAGCAGATTTTTGTCCCGAAATTTGGGAAAATTTATTTGTATTTTTGGTAAATTACACACATTGCCATTGGCAACCCTGCCATGCACACTACACATATCATCATCATCATCATCATCATCATTACAGCCTTTCATAAGTCCACTGCTGAACATAGGCCTCCCCCAAGGAATGCCACAAAGCACGGTCCTGAGCCACCTGCATCCATCGACTTCCTTCATGCCTTACCAGGTCGTCACTCCATCTCGTGGGGGGTCGCCCTACACTTCGCCTACCGGTACGAGGCTGCCACTCGAGAACCTTTCTTCCCCATCGGTTGTCGGTACTTAGAGCTATATGGCCGGCCCACTGCCACTTCAGCTTACTAATCCGTTGGGCTATGTCGGTTACTCTAGTTCTACTGCGGATATCCTCATTTCTAAGTTTATCACGCAGAGAAACTCCGAACATAACCCTCTCCATAGCTCGCTGAGCGACCTTGAGCTTCCTCATACGGCCAGCTGTGAAGGACCACGTCTCAGTTCATCAGACAGTCAGAGAAATCACTGAACAGTTGTCGTCTGGTCGTCATAATGAAGTCAATCTCATTGTTTGTCGAACCGTCGGGACTCGACCAGGTCCACTTCCTGTGGGGCCGCTTCTGGAAGAAAGAGTTCATCATAAAGAGTCCCTCTTTCTCCATGAAGTCGGCCAGCTGCTGGCCTCTTGGGTTCCGTTGCCCTATTTCAAATTTCTCTACTTTCAGCTCACCGTTCTCTCTTGTGCCTAGTTTTGCATTGAAGTCTCCCATTAACACCGTATATTGGGTTTTGGAGGAATGCATGGCTCTAGAGATATCCTCATACATTTACTCCACCTCCTCATAGGGGTGTGCCGAGGTTGGTGCGTAAACCTGTATGACCTTCAGCGAATACTGTTTGGTGATTCTGAGTTTAAGTTACGCAACCCTCGTCGACACACTCCCGATCTTTACAACGTTGTTAACGAGAGACTTGTGGACGATAAATCCGACACCTCCTTGGGACAGATGGTCGCCCTCCCGGTGATAGAGCAAGTTGCCGGATTCGAGGATTACCGTGTCCTCCCCCTCTCTTCGGACTTCGGATAATCCTATAATATGCCAGCGCAACTTGTCTATCTCTTCTTCCAGCTCCACGATCTTTTCGTCAGTCCTCAGGGTGCGTGCGTTGTACGTTGCCAGGTCGAGTTGTCTAAGGTGGCAACCGAACCTCCACCGGAGATTCTTAGCACCCCCTGCCCCGCCGTTACCATGGTCGCCACCGTAGCCAGGAATAGCGGGGCCGCCGGGGACTGGGGGCCGTCTGTTTCTGTCTACACATATACCTTCTATTATTACATTAATACGTGAAAAGAAAAGTTTTCTACCCCTGTTTAAACATATTGCGCGCTAGACTTATGTGAGATTTGGCATAAGTTTATGCGGAGAAGGAGTGTAGAAAAACAAAATTTATTTTAAAAAAATCGGAATGTTTTGTATGAACACGTGTACGTAACGAAACGACCTCATAATGGCGGCGCTTCTACTTCCGCCGCGCACGATGCATCACACATCTCACTAACTGTAACCATTTAACTGGAAGCAAATTTAAAAATGTATTTACGTCAATATGTGTTACAAATACATCATACTAAAAAAAAAACGTTCATTGCTTACGTTTATATTATCAACCAAGAACGAAATTGAAAACCTATCTTCCCCGTCGATTGTATATTTGTCAATCTATATGAGCAGCCCATTGCCACATCAACCTACTGATCACTACAATATAACTTTTTTTTTCCTTGCAGAGAAATTCGCCATTCACCAACTACCAATCAAACGAGTTCCTGAAGCATGTTATTAAATTGTGAATGTGATTTTATATTATGTTGAAATCTTCAATCGAAACGATAAAGTCTCCTCCCTTAAATACGAAATCTTGCCCGAAAGCGGCTCCGCACGCAATACATGCGGCATTGCGTGCCGCGAGGCGCCGCCACCGAGTGTCTTATACTACGTGCTCGCTCGCCTTGTTACTGGATATTTTGTACGAACTGATATTAATACCGCATTTCTATATTTAAAAACGATTCGTTTTCTTTTACGAGCTGTTTTGCAGTAAATGAAGTGCATGAAAAGCCCATTTTTAAAACCAAAGAGCAGTTCAACTATGAATGAACCGTTTAAAGCTTTTTTTTTTCATTTTAAGTTGTCTTAAGTTACTGAATGAATAGTTTGTAGTATAAACTATTCATTCAGCAACTTTATTTACATGCACCTCGTATGTAATGAAACAGATCGTTACGGAGAACGAACGTTTCTTGAATATAGGAATCGGGCATAAGAATGAAACGCTTACCAACGCTTCGAATATCGCTGCTGGACAGTCTGAAGCTATATTCAAATTGATCGGTCCCATATTTTTATGCTGTTAGAGATGTGGTACTTTAGATGAGTATAGAAATAAAAAGGTTCTATAAATATATGTATTCAAATACTAATAAAATTTAAATCGAACAATGATAGTATCAATGACTTAGTTATAATAGTGGATATTATTTTAAACTAAGAGTTTATATATAAAATTTAAAAAATATTAAATTGATTGATACTACCTATGTTCGATGTTTTAGAACTATGAAAGTACCTAAGCAGTACTAATAGAGTCTACCAATGATTTTTAATGACAAATGGAGTGTCTTTTTCTCTGATAGCATATGTATACGGTCCCTACTTGTGACACCGTAGACCTGGACAATAACTTCGAAACGGTTCTGAAGTTATACATATTAACTATGCTTAATTTATTAATGTAAAATTGCAGAAAATAAAAAAAAACTGAATTGTTATTATACAGGGCCACGTTGTCCAATCTACGGTGTAACAATTAAATAGGCTTGTTTACATTGTTTCGCGTTGTGTGCACCGAGACCGATCGTGTAAATAGTCCATATAGATATAAAATGTATTATTATCGTAACATAGAGTGGTCACAAATCCCGGTGAGTCACCGAAGGACGGTGTTAATGATCTCAATTATTCCAATTCTTATTATTTGCGAGAGCAATATCATTTGTATTTATATTGAGAATTAATTTTATCCGAGCCGAGCATATATCGATTTGTGGTAATGTCGATATCGATAATTCCAGTTTGTTATAATCTACGTTATCAATATCAACGTTATGGACCAAGTGATTACCAGTGAAATCGGGATACTTTATTAATACCAATGTAAACTTCATTATTTATCACATTGTCTGGTCATAACCTAACCTAACATATTATATTTTTGAATATGTAACAGAATTTATTCATAAAGCCCGTTCAATTTAATTATATCAACTTTTTTGCCTACATCCACATATTGGACATTTTTCAAACATGAATAATTCCCTGTTAATCACTTGGTCCACAACAATAATATCACACTAACTGTCTTATCATATATAAATTCTTATTTGGCTGGATGTATTGCAGCCATTGCCACAATAAATTTAAAAAAATAGATTTAAATCAAACCGGATTAGGTAGGCATTCAATTTAAGGAACGAATACAATTTTTAAATTTGAATAAAACCACAGATTAGCGTTTTGTTTTATATAATCTGTGACTAAAGTTAAACTTTTTTTCTAAATAAATCTATTGAATTTATCCTCGTCGACGCTCGACGAAGTGCTTGGATTCTGAATAGTAACGGATAGGTTACTCTCTCAAATCTCATATGAAATGCTTAAAAATGTTTTGTATCCGAATTTTTGTTTTAGTCAGTTTAGGTTGTCGTTTCTTTTATATGAGTTTTATTTTACCATTGTTGTTTTTAGTAAATTTTATTTGTGCTTCGATCGCTTTGTGTGTTGAAGCAAGTGATATTAGATAGTTTGTTATAGTTGTAGACGTAAAAACTACTGAAGGTAAATTATATGGATCGCGTTCGAAAAATTGCAGCGTAGTGCTTGGGTGTAGATAGGGTTAGAAAACGATTTTATACCAAAAATAAAGTTATGTATTTCAATAGTTTAAACCGGTTTCATGAACTACCAAAGTAACCAAATATTTGCCATATCTGTATTTTACATACCTATTTTATGCCAAATAGATCTTGTATAGTTTTTGTAGACTTAATGTTTATCTTTATTTCATAATATAAAAGTTGTTTAGTAGCTTTATTTCAATATATTCCATATTATGTGATTAAAGTGCCCTTAAAGATATCAGAAAGAAATTGGGCATCGATAGTGAAAATGAACGCCTGTAGAACACACCCTAACTATGCCCATGCTAGTGTATATAAAAGACGCTCTGAGGGGCAAGCCAGGTTAACTCTCTACCATCTTCAACGCTAATAGAAACCTATAGATCTATATAAATATTATACATAAATCAAATAAACGTGAAGTAACGTGACACAGTCACGACTTTTTGAGATATGTTATTTCCATTCATTTTCGTAGTTTTCTATGAACGTCAACGATTGTAGAATTAATCTTGACTAACCCCGATGGTCTCAATGCGTCCAAATAAGATCCATGGTGTTTAATATAAGCGAGTTACCAAAGATGGAAACAGTCCATTCCATTCGTCTTGTCTCAGGAGCCTTAATCGACCATGTTCCTCATGTATAAAAACATTATTGGATTTATTAATTAGCTCCAGACACGGTTTCTAGTCAACGGTTCTGTATACAAGCGTGTAAATATTATTGTAGGTATTTAAAAAGTATATTATAATATAGTGTAGTGTAACATTCGCACAATACTTTTTGAATACCACGAAATCACTGCCACCTCGGTGTTGCAGTCCACGTTAAATTGTACCTTACGTGTTTTATTTAAATCATGAATTAAAATGTCTATTAATTGGGAACCAACTGGTGTATATTATATTGCGCATATTATATGTTATTTATATATAAAACTGAATTGGTTTAATGTATAAATTTGAAAAGAAATCATGTGATATGTATTTGGAAACCGCTAGTCAGCTGTGCCGCGAACGCGCTTTTACTCACCAATAAAACATTTTTAATTTTATCCGTGTTTTATTTATTTTCCTATACGCTATATATATACCTAAAGGCCTCTACACACCAAACCCGCCGCCCGCCGCCCGCCGCCCGCCAGCCTCGCCCGGCGGGACGTGCCGGCACTTCATGTTCGCTCATAACCTAGTGACGTGCACTGAAGTGTTTTTTGTTTACGTATCGAATGTAGATATGAAAGATATAGAGAAAAAACGAGTAGATACTTCAAAAAAAGTCAGGTGCGGGCACCGAAGATATTTACCATAGCAAATGGTTTGTTTTCAAATTATTAAACTTTCTATGCAATAAAAATAACCCCATCACTAACTGCTGAACGGTACAGGCCGCAGATGCCGCGGCCCTCGTGCCGCCGGCAAAGGTCGTTCCGGCTTGCAATGCTCTAATGCCGCCGACTTAACCCGCCGACACCAACTCGTCGGGCATAGCCGGCGGGCCGGCGGTTTTGGTGTGTAGAGGCCATTAGTATAACGAGGTAGAGCCATGCTGCAGCTATATTATAGTTGCAGCGCGAATGGGTCGATTAATTGGGGAGGACTACGCTCTCACAGTATACCAGCGTAAAATAGGCTGCACTAAAAGTATCGGGAATGGAATATTTCCACTGTTCCTGTCATATTAAAATCTTTTTAATTGAAAAGTCCTTGGTTTTAGAAATCGGATACCATTTACTTATTTAAAAAAAAGATTCTCGGTCTTGTCACAAGGTTTTGTCAAACTGTGTTTAGTCGTTGAGAAAATGGAATTGACTCGAGAAAATTCAAGAGCGATGATTTATTATGACTCGAAGTGGTTTAACACAAAAACATGTGTTGACCGGATGATTTCTGCATTTGATGATGAAGCCCCATCCAAAACCACAATTTATCGCTGGTTTGCTGAATTTCAACGTGGACGTGTCAAGCTTAGTGATGATCCCCGTCAAGGTCGTCCAAAAACTGCAGTCACCCAAGAAAACGTTGATGCTGTGCGTAAGCTGATTGAGGAAGATCGACATGTGACATACCGCGAAATTCAGGCAACTTTAGACATTGGCATGAGTCAAATACAAATAATCTTGCATGAACAATTAGGTGTAAAAAAGTCGTTTTCCCGATGGATACCGCATTCACTCTGTGAAGAGCAAAAAGCGGCTTGCGTTACTTGGTGCGTCAGAACTCTCGAAAGATTCCACGCAGGATCCTCAAATGCTGTATACAACATCGTATCTAAGTGGGATAGTAAGCCGCACGGAAAAACAACATGAGGCGACATTTTAAATATGGTGGCACGCCAATAAAATCTAAGCGTAGGAGATTAGCATCGAGTGAGCAGGACGTAAATGAGGAAGCACAATCTTATAGTGAATCAATAAAATCTTTAATTGATAGAAAAGTAGAGGAAGCTATGAGAAGTATTAAAAACGATATAACAGAGCCAACGTCTAAAGGATTCTATAAAACCGAAAATCTTTTCCTGAATTCGACCCGGAAAATAAAGACGGAAATGTTAAAACCCGGATTAAGAAAATTGAGCAATTAGGTGACTTTTATATAATTGGAGTGATGATTTAAAATCTTTTAACTTATAATCAAAATTACAAGGTCAGGCGCGAAACTGGTTTAATAGTCTTGATTCATACAATCATACATGGGACGAATGGAAAATAATGTTAACTAAAGCTTTTCCTAGGCATCATGACAAAGAGATTTGAATATATAGGATTACTACTTAAATTTCTTTGCATCAAAATTATGCAAAGAAATTTAAGTATACCTATATATTTAAATCTCTTTGTGATTACGCATCTTTACTGGACGAACTAATGAATCGTAAAAAGATGAACACTGAAACAATGAAAAGTATTTTCAAGAAAAACTAGCTATGTGTTACAGATGTCAGTTAAGCGAAAAACCATCTGTGTCATGTATTATTAGAGGCTTACCACAAGAATTGCAGACTAATGCTCAAGCTTTTCAGTGTTCTAACCCTGATGAATTATACGAAGCTTTTCTGTCTGCTTTCGATACTCTTATCAAAGTACTACTATACGGGCGTCTGTACGGGCTATGAGTGCTAAGCCAACAAATACGCGAACATCATATATAATGGTAAGCTACATAAAAGACTGCACGAGTAAATGGGGTATTTATGAGAGCATATTTGGACACGGGTAGCGAATTAAATGTGATGGCGCAAGATGCTGCGAAAGCGATCAAATTACAAATAAAACCTACGAATATTATATTAAAAGGATTCACTGGACAAGCACGAGCTAGTGGAGAAGTCTGATTTAGCTTTTCTGTCGACGAAGTTGAAATGGAAACGACTGCAGTTATTGCTTATGTTGATTTTGGAAATGTTGCACTTATAATAGGGCAACTTATTATTAACAACGAAGGAATAGAGCTTAACGTAACAAAGAATGGAGTAAAGTTATCTATGACATCATGTCCTGAGAGAATCCTAGGTGCATTAGATATTGTCGAAGAAGCCAGCCGATTTGGAGTTAGAGTATTTGAGGATACAGAGGTGCCAGTTGGAGATACATTAGTTAAAGTATTAGTAGAAGGTGTAAATGAGGGAAATGTTTGTACTAAACCAAGGCAGCATAGTTGGGTAAGGTAGATTATCCAATCGCTAGTATGTTTCTTCGGAATGGTACCGGTTATTTGAAGGTTTGCAATGTTGGTATAGAGCCATTTATGTGGAAAAAAGAGAGGCTGTGACAGGAGCGGAGAGATGTGAGGAGATGGATGAGGTGAGTTCAAAAATATTTTCTTTGAGAAGCGTATCAGAAGTGACGAAGGAATGTGACATTGTGGGCGGTGCTAATATTCCGAAATAAATGTTGGTTATTTAGATGATTGCTTCAAATATAGATTATTTTGTTTACTTCGTGATTATGGTGACTGTTTTGCTAGCTCTGAAGCTGAAAAAGACCTCACTAGTTTGGGATTGATGCATATAAAACTAACTACATATAAACCAATAAATAGAAAGCCTTATACGTTAGCTTATACGGAAAGGAATATTGTAGCTTAAAAAATAAAAGAGTTGCTTGAAGGTAATATTATAAGGGAATCTAGCTCGGAATATGCTTCGGCTATTATCCTTGTGCGAAATAAAAGGTGATTATCGGTTATGCGTAGATTATAGGGATCTTAATGCAATAACGGTTAAGGAGAGATTTCCTTTACTTGATATAGATGACACATTAGCACGATTATCAGGAAAACGATTCTTTACAAATTTGGAATTATATTCTGGATATCAAAATTGATGATGAATCTGTACGTAAGACAGCGTTTGTTACACCTGATGGATTATATGAATATTTAAGAGTTCCATTTAGGCTTGCTACTGCCCCATCAGTTTTTATGCGTGTTATACAGAAACTAGTAAATCTGGTAGGAAATGATGAAATTGTTGCATTCATGGATGACCTACTTTTATCTACAGTCTTAGAATATGCTGGATTACAGTTATAAGAAAAAGTTTTTGTTCAACTGCGAAGATGCGATCTTAAGCTTAATATAAAGAAATATTCATTTTTAAAGTCTGAAGTATCATTTTAGGACATGAGATAAGTGTAGAGGGCTTAAGGCCCGGTAACTATAAAATATAAGCGATAAAAAAATTCCTGTACCCACAAATTTACAAGAGCTTCGGCAATTTTTGGGACTGTGTAGCTATTTTAGGAAATACATATTATGTCAGTTCGCTATTTTAGCAAAACCGCTTACAGACTTAACCAAAAAGAATTCCGTTTGGTGTTGGAATGATATTCAGGCGCAAAGTTTTCATACATTGAAATAAAAATTATGTTCAAGGCCAGTTCTAGCCTTGTTCGATCCTAATTTATCATGTGAAATACATACAGATGCAAGTAAGCTTGGAATAGGTAGTATTTTGTTACAAATTCAATACAGTGGCGATCTAAAGCCTGTTTCTTATTTTAGTAGAGCAAGATCACGTGAAGAATCAATGTATCACAGTTACGAGCTAGAAACATTGGCAGTAGTTGAGTCTTTAAAACATTTTCGTGCTTATGTTTATGATTATAGTTTATGCCTATTAAAATAGTCGCTGACTGTTCCGCTGTACGCTATACGTTGTTAAAAAAGATCTAGTTCCTAGGGTTGCTCGTTGGTGACTGATGCTGGAGTACAGTTATTAGAAAAAGTTCAAGAATATGATATTCAAATAGAATATAGACCTGGTAATCATATGAAACATGTTAATGCGCTAAGTCGTAATGCTCAAAAATGTTTTACTTCTTTTAATGGCTCTAATCAACGGAATTATATTGTAAATATAAATCAAATTTCAAGCGAAGACTGGTTTTATCTATACAGCTACAAGATGATAAATTAAAAAACATAATTCGACAGTTGACGGAAGGCAATGCGAGTACCGAGTACTGATATTGTTCATAACTATAAAATAAAGGACAACCGGTTACATCGAATCACTCTCAATGGTGATAAACTTGTAGTACCCTTGTTCGCTAGATGGAAATTCATGCAAAGATTTCATGATAACATAGGGCATGTAGGGCTAAAACGATGTGAGGAAATCATTAAGTCGGATTATTGGTTCCCAAAGATGACACGCTTCATAAAAAAGTATGTCAATTCATGCTTAGAATGTGCTTATGGGAAGGGCAACTACGAGAAATCGTCAGGTGAGTTGCATCTTATTCCTAAGCCTGATTTACCTATGGACACAATCCATATTGACCATTTGGGACCTTTAAGTAAGATCACAAAGGGATATCAGTATATTTTAATGATCGTAGACTCATTTTCTAAATTTATGTTAGCTCGCCCAACTCTAACTCTCAATTCTTCTGAGACTGCGAGAATATTAAAAGTTTAGCATGTTTGGTTACCACATTCAAATGATATCCGACAGAAACTTGGCATTTACGAGCAGGTTTTTCAAAGAATTTATAACGCAGCCCCAATTCATCATACATTGAATGCCATAGCTTGTCCGCATTCAAATG